GCTAAGTTTCAGCTTTTCCTCTCCCTGTCAAGCCAGGTTTCACCATCCATTTGCTTTCCATTATACTGCATGCTGATATGTTCTTGTTTTCTTGCATGTGTTTATAACTTTTTTTTTAAACTTTAATTTTAAACTGACTTCAGAATGGAATGGAAATGATTGTGTGTGTTCAATCTAATATGTTTGGCTAGAAGTAGCCAGTGGTAACTCTTCACAAACATTCCAGAAGCGTGATGGTTGCCAGTATGGCATACCTTTTCTTTTCACTTCCCGGTGGTTTTTGGCTCTCTGGAATTCATGCCCAACCCTTCGGATCAGGATCCGGGCCTTCCACAGGCCATCAGTGACCCCAAGTCACCAAGTTGAGCTATCTCGCCTCACACTCATGCTTAAACTGCAGCATTTGGGAGGGAGGGCATTTCCTCTATTTGAAACGCCCTCCCCTGGCCCTTCTGAAACACTTGGCTGCCTGGTTTTCCATCTGCACCTCTGATCATTTTCACAATAACACGTCCTCTCTCCTCAGTGATGGTGCTCCCCGAGGGTCCACATTTTCTCTTTTCCCTTCACTGTAATCAGCTGACTCACAGATTTGATTCCTAACTCAGCCCTTTCCCAGCTTTTGTATCAAATCCTTCTTGAGGTCCGGCAGCTATTCCACGTTATTGGCTGTATGAATGACTGGCTCTCAGCCAAGGCTTGCCATACATCCCAGCACCCTGTCGAGGGAAGTGGACGAATGGTGGCACCATTAGCATTAGAGGGCCAGGACGGAGAGATGGTTTTGAAGAGGGTGTGGGTTTGAAATCGGTGTAGAGTTTCCTGTTCTCCTTTTAGCCTCAGAAATATGGCCAAGCTTCATGGGGAGGCTACCAAGGAAGTATCATTTTGGAGCAACAAATATGGTTCCAGGTGACTAAAAGTGGGATGAATTTTTAAGGGTCTACCTGAATATAAGGGGTTATTTCTTTTAACATTGACCAGAAAGACCCAGACAAACCCTAATGGCATCCTTACCTGGGGTTTTCTACGTTTCTGGGTCTCTGAATTCTTGCTGGCAGTGACCAGCAAGGTGAGGGGTAGGAGTAATATTCTACTTTCAGAAGATGTAAAGTTGTTGCTAAAAAACGCTAAGGTGTTTTGTTTTGTTTGTGAGTTTTGTTTTAGTTCGGGGCCCAAGTGTTACAAGTAGCTGAGATCAAGGGCCGGAAGTAGTAGTAGTTGTAGCATTCCCCCCCCCCCCCGCCCACCGGGGTGGGAAGGACACACAATGAAGAAGACCATGTATGGGGTGGGGGATGCTAGGGTTGAGGTTGCTGGGCCCCCAGCATTGCCCAGCACGGGCTCTCTGGATACCAAGCCAGCAGGCAGCACTGTATGCTTTACAGATGGAGAACTGAGATTCAGAGAAACCAGATTTTGTGGTCACATTGAACCCAGGACCCAGTACTCTGTCCAGTGCCCCAGCTGCTGCCTCCTGGGGCTTCTCCTCCCTGCCCACACCATCATTTGCCTTGCAAACTGTGAACACACAGTCTATGGGTGAATCTCTGGGGCCCAGGCACTGTCTATGTGGTGCAGGCCGGGTAGGGGAAGAGGAAGTGGTGATCGGTTCCAGGCTGCTCCTGGGCCAGCACCCACCCCTGTCCCAGAAGCCCCTGGATGTGGTGTGGTTGGGGGCTGTGCGTATATCCACAAGGCACGGAGAAATCAACCTCGGCCGGCTAATCGCCTATCCAAACATTGTTGGTAATCTGCATCCCTAAAATAAACCCTTAAAAGATGGAAAGATGTTAGTAATTTCTGGCCATATGTGCCTCCTCCTTCCTTACTCTCCCCACCTCAAAAAAGAAACTGAGCCAAATGGCAAGAAATAAAGAGTCTAATGCATAACACATTTCCATCATTTGATTTCCCCTCTCCCCTTGCTGTCCCCCCACCTATGTAAACTAAATTCCTTTACACGGTCATGGCAAAGGAACATTAATTTTTGATTTGAGTTGTGATTAAAAGCAACACAATCAAAAGAGTGAAATAGTTTCCACTGAAGCAATATCATTTTAAACCCAGTCATGGTATAGTAGGAAAGAGTGTGGTCTTTGGGGTTAAGTGTGGGTTTTAATTCTGATTCTATCTCACTTACATACTGTGGCTTCATGCTGTCATTACTTGACCTGAGTCCTTCTCCTTGATTGTAATAAATAATAATGATGCCTTCTTAGCAGGAGTGCTGTGAGCGTGAAATAACGCGCCATGCATAGAGCAGCCTATGTGGAGTGTGGCACTCAAAGAAATGATGGCTCACTTCTCTGCAGAAAAGAGGGTGCCCACATTGTCAGCTGGGGCATGCACTCATCTCTCCTGGTGACACAATCCATTGCTTCTACAACAATGCTTGGTTGCCAGCCTTAGGTTTTGGGAAGTAGCTTGGGATTCATCCAATATCGTGGGGCCGCTTTATTTAGAGGGTCTCGTGAAGGGAGCAGAATTGTTCTTACTGTGTTATCCTCCTGCACTGTTCTTTTCTTTGATACGTGGTTTCTCCCAGTTCTGTTTTCTCTGTTTTGCAGAGAGGAGGCTGGGATGGAAACTTGACTTTCCCTAGGCCTGGGCAGCGAATCTCCTCCTGCCGGCCCCTTCTTCAACCCCTCTGAGAACTTTCTTCATTTAGCGAGCCACAGGCCAGAACAGTTGAAGTCTTTTCCCAAGTGAACCACCAGGCACGGAGTTTGTGAGCCAACAAGGGACACTAACCCAAGTGTAGGCCTGTGTAGGCATGTCGGGGGTGAAGCCCTGGACAGGTAGTTTCTGTGCTTTCTGTTCGCCACACTCCTGCCTTCTGGTCCCCATGCACTCTGTCCACCGTGGGGGTGGGAATTAAGCATAATCAGAAGCACTGGGCAGTGGCTGGTTTGGGTCAGGGAGAGCTTAAAGAAAGGAACTCATTGCGAGGCTGTGCTCAACTCACTTCCATGTGTGCTGGGAAGCCTGGACCAGCCTGAAAGGTCAAGGTTAATCCTCAGCAAGAGCCTTCTGCTGCTTAGTGCCCAGTTCCTGAACCTTCTGCCGCCCTTGGGAGTGAGGCATTTCTTAAGGGATACCAGGCCGGGGTATTATATGAGATTAAGTAGGCTGCAAAATCTGGAACTCTTTTTGTAAGGAAAAGAAAGCAATGGGAGCGTGTTTAATTTACTGACTTTGACACATTCATTAAAGGTTTGTTCCTAGGATTTTCCCCTCTCCTTCTTATTCTTAGGTTAGCCAAGGGTATGTTGTCTAATCAGCTAAATACTAAATAATAAAGCCTTTGCCAGAGCAGTCTCTTTCAACCAGGAGAAACTCTTCTACCATTTCGTAAATGAAGTCATTTTGAAATGTGGATAAAACCAGGAAGTGAGTCTGAGCTCCTCCCATTTTCTTGATCCATTTAGCTGGTCCTCTAAATATGGGGTTCATTATGAAGAATTTTGCAGCCATAGAGTCTGCATGGACTGCATGGTGATTAAAAGTGCACATTTAAGACATGGGTTTAAACTGAGCTTTAGAGACTTTGGCCAAGTTAACTTAACCCCCTACACCACAGTTTTCTCATCTATTAAATGGGGGAAAATAATTATACCTTCCTCATGGAGTTGTTAGATTTAATTGAGGAAATTCATGGAAAATACTTAGCGCACTTCCTGGCATGCCGTATGCTCTCATAATTGTTAACTATTGCTATTCTGTTCAGATTCAAGCCTTTCCTCATGAAGCGTGGGTGGGAATTTTGAGTTACCAAAAAGAGGGGTCTTGCTAATTTTGAAGTTAGAAGAGTGCAGGGGATGTGCAAATTATCTGGTGACTAGCATCTAGAAAATGATTTTCATCTCCTTTAGAAATACTTGGGCTGGCCAGCCTGAGGGGGGAGTTGAGTGTCACAGTGACGCCATATTTTTAGTGCATTTACATCGTTACAGAATGCCTCCACGTGTATTTAATTATCTTCACCAAGAGACCTTGTGTAGCCATCACTAATTTTCCTGTCCATACATTTACATTAAAATCATGTTAACTGAGGGTCTGCAGAGACAAAAAAAAAAAAAAAAAAAAAAGATAAGCCAGACTCAGTGGATGGGCTCTTTCCCTTCCTGCAGATAGCTATGCTGAGGAATGGAAGCCCATGTCCTGTATTAGACTCAAGGAGATCATCTCTCGGATCTATCTGTCAAGACTTCACCAGGACTTGCTCTAATCTGTCAAGAGCTCAAAGCAGAGTTTGAATGTGTGTGGGTCTACCCAGTGGAAGAAAACATTAGTGGCACCCGTTAGTGGTTGCCTTGTGGTTGACAGAACATTAGCAGTACCTGCTGTCAAAACTCCCCAGAGGCACAGTGGTAGGGACTGTGATTTCTCCGATGCAGAAGTTGGACACTGATTTTCGATGCACTCAAGCATGACCATTTGATGTGCTGTTTAATTTCTCCATTGCCACGTGTGCACACATAGATTTTGTCAGTCTTGTTTACAGGACCCAACTTTCAAGGAATTTTAGGTCCCTTGGATGTTAAAGAATTAAACCAATGCCTTTCTCTTTAAAAAAAAAAGTTGGGGTAAAATTTTTTTGAGTCCTGAGGTCTATAGCATTAGATTATATGGGTTAGATTCAATTATATGATCCCCTTCTTCTCTTAAAGCATTGTAGGATATTTGGATTCATTGAATTTTAAAAAAGAGAAACATGGTTTGGCTCTGAAAATTTATTTGAGAATCTCATGGTGTCCCAGGGCACCTATTAAGTTACCGTTAGACACCACAAAACTAGGGGGCAGAACATGAAGATTAACTGAGATCTTGGTGCTTATCTTCAAACCACCTCTTTCTTTGACTTGCCGGTTGTGTTGCATTTCATCTCCCCCTTGAGCCATAGCTTGGGTTATTGTTTCAGATGGAAAGCTGTGTTCTAAAATGCTTTTTCTCCCTCCTTCCCTCCTCTTCCCCCACCTTGCCTGCACCGTCTGTAGCTCTGCGGATGAAAATAAAAGAAGTGAAAAAAGAAAATGGCGACAAAAAGATTGTCCCCAAGAAGAAGAAGCCTCTGAAGCTGGGCCCCATCAAGAAGAAGGAACTGAAGAAGCTTGTTCTATACCTGAAGAATGGGGCTGACTGCCCCTGTCACCAGCTGGACAACCTGAGCCACCATTTTCTCATCATGGGCCGGAAGGTGAAGAGCCAGTACTTGCTGACGGCAATCCACAAGTGGGACAAGAAAAACAAGGAATTCAAAAACTTCATGAAGAAAATGAAAAATCACGAATGCCCCACTTTTCAGTCGGTCTTTAAGTGATTCTCCCTGGGTGGGTAGGGGAGGGAGCCATGGCTTGGGGTGAGGGGCGGGGCTGAGCATACAACCCTGGAGCCTGGAGGTCTGTGCTCACTTCTCCTCTGGTTGGTAGAGGACATTGTAATCCAGCTGGCTTTGCTCTGGCAGCTTCCCCACTCCATCCCCTCCATAGCCACGCTCCAGACCCCAATACCGCCAGTATTTAAAGCCGCATGCGCAGGTAAGGAAAACCATTTAGATTAGGAAGTCTTTTAGGATCTACCGTGCGGAACAGCACATCACTGAGGAAAAGTAGGTGTAAACCATTTCAACCAGGCACAGTTACTAAAAAAAGAAAATTTTGCCAGTAACAAAGAAACCAACCAAGCAGCCAACCAAGAAAACCCAAAACCAAAAAGCAAAGAGACTGGGCAAAAAGTGAGAGAAAGCAGCAGAAAAACTAAGTTCTGCAACTTCGTGTCGTCACAAATGGCTTGTGGATCTATCAGCTCATCTATGCCTTTGATGTGTCACTTTCAGTTCCAGAAACTTCTGTCTCTGTCTACCTTACTCAGAAACAAACACACACCACATTTACAACTGAAGATCAAATCCAGAAAGTTAAGAGCAGGGAAGAAAAGCACCAGGACAGCATGTAATAGTGAAAACACAGGGAGGCCGTGTCTGCCCTGCCTCTCCACGTGATTGGCTTTTGATCTGAATCAGCTAGTCTCAGATGCCATGTAAGTGGCAGTGAACATCAGCCTCAGTGCATGATCTAGCCTCCAGACATGCGGAGGGCGGCACGTGCCTGCCTTTGTGTGAGGAAGAGGAAACACCAAACCCACGGCATGAGAGAGACCATGATTTTCAGCCTGAGAAGGCAATGGTTAGTGGTTTTCGAAAAACATAACGAGAAAACAAAGAAAAAAAAAAAATCAGGAACAGCCCAGCAAATTGCCAGTCAGTGTGAACTGTAATTGGGTGAAGAGTTTAGTGTTCAATTTCATCTGCTTGCTCATTTCACTTTTGTGTCTGTTTTTTCTTGTTTGTTTGTTTGTTTTTTGTTTTTTAGAGGACAACGACAAAAACCCTATTTACTTTTCAATGTTTTATAAAAGAAGTCAACATTAACATTTGAAAGGGGTGCTGGGCTGAGTGAGGGTCTTTTGATGCATTTGAGGCTACTTTCTAGCAGAGCAGCTCTCTCATGGGGCATTTGGGTTGGGAGGTGGATTTGCCTGAAAGCAAACCACAAGGTCCTCTTTCCTGAGGGGTTCTGGGTTGCCCCGGACCCAACCCAGTGCCTGTCAGAACCCACAGTGCTTCCCGTGCTTTTCTTTCCTGTGAAGAAGTGGATTCCTTTAAACTTGACTGTCTATAGATCAAAGAAATTCAGAACAGCCAGACTGCCTGTCCTCCTTACACTTATAACAATTTTTTAAAAAATTTCTGCAAGGGAGAGTTAGGTCAAAAATGTCCCCATCCAAGGAGAGAGTTTCAAAGACACCACACATCTCTTCAGGTTTCCCTGACTGCCCGAAGATGTTTCTTAAACCCCTTGTGTTTAATAAGTGATGTACATAAGCTCATTCACAGAAGCAACTTTACTCCTCCTGGTGAGTATATAAAAAGTCATTCTAAGCAATTAATGTGAATTTGTTCCTCAAGCCTGATTCTTAATTCTCTGTAACACCTGAAGGTGGTGAGCTAGTGGTTGTCCTTCTGGGCGAATGTTTATACCCAATCCAGAAGCTGCAGGGGGGCTGGGATGTGTCACCCCATGGCCCTGGATTGACGCAGAAACAGTGGAAGATTCTGTTAACTTCTGAAGGCTCCTGTCTGAAAATAAGCATGCCAACTTCATTACCTACCTGAGGGTGATCCTGATATAATTAACCTCTCACCATTAGTGATCCTATTATTTTAACACTTTTGTTTTTTGGTTCTCTCTGACCTTTAATCATAAAGTGTTGGGGATCTTAAGTGATTTGCCTGTAAGTTTGGATGATTTTTAAAAAATGTGTATATACATTAGTTAATTAGAAATATTCTACTTTACTATTGTTAACTGAAATTCAGTACAATTTCGTGAGTGCATGGTTCTGGGCCTTAGTTTTGGTTGATTAACTCAAGAGTTCAGTGCTTATATGTATCTGCTCATTTTGACAAAGAGCATCATGCAGCAGGCGTCTGTCCAAAGCTGGGCCTCGGCAAGGGTTTTGTGTGGGGCGTTAGCTGTTACCACAGAAAGACTGGAAGATTAGGCGGCCATGCTGTGCAGCTCTCTACATGCGAATCCTCAGACGGGAAGTGACATTTTCGGGACGAGTTCAAAATAAATTGGAAATGTGAACTGCAGCTGCACGTTTTACCCCAACCATACGGTCCCAGGACTTTTGAGTTTGACTGTGGATTTGAGATACACACTCTCTTTGTCTACAACTCACCAGCAATTTGAGGATGCAAAGGGAGGCTATGAGCCCAAAGCAGCATTTTTATCACAAACCCTGTTTTTCTCAACAAAGGGTAGAACAGAACCAATGTGTAGACTATTGGCTTGGTCATCGGTTTCCAGAAGAGGAGGTCTGTATGTAATTTGTAATTATTGCTAGGTCAAAGGTCCTATTTGTAAAGGTGAGAAGTAATCGTGCTGGGTAGGATCCTGTGACGTCATTGGCAGAGCTCAGCTCAGTCTTTGAAGATTACTAGTTCTCTCAGAAGATGGAAAGTGAGATGAGGGCTCCCCCCCCAAACACTTTACCTTTAGAATATCCCCTGTGACACTTGGCTCATGGTCCCGATGCATTAGCACCAAGGTCTCCTGGAGGCAGAATCCATTCAGAGTTCTAGTTTTCACTTGGATGTGTGCATTACAGACCCCCGTGCCCAAAGCTAGAATGTGTATTTCTCATCAGACTCCAAGTAACTCGTTGCTCTGTTGCAAATTCACAGCTGTCTTCGAAGCGCACCTTGGGTAACTCCCATGGAATAACGTAGTGGCCCTTCTGATCTGTCACCAGCGGATACGTAGGGCTCAGATGAAACTCCCGTTTCCCCTAGTCCCCTCACATAGAGTCTAAGTCTTTTACAAAAGCTTTGAATACTGTGAAAATGTTTTACATTCCATTTCATTTGTGTTGTTGTTTTAACTGCATTTTACCAGATGTTTTGATGTTATCACTTATGTTAATAGTAATTCCCGTATGTGTTCATTTTACTTTCATGCTTTTTCCTGCCATGTATCAATATTCACTTGACTAAAATCACTCAATTAATCAATGATAATGTGAGTTGTGTCTTTCCCCCTCACCAATCCCAGTGATAGACCACTCAACCCTCTTCCACTGTGCATACAGTGGAACCTGCTTGAGTTTCTTTAGCAATGTTTTCTGGCCTTGGTTTTACAGCTTTCAAATGATAACTGGGCGTGGGTGGGCTGGAGGCACACCTGGGAGGCACTGCCTGCTATGCTCACCCCCATCCCACATTGACCATCTGCTCCCGTGAATAACTTCCAGAAGCGTTTCCCCCCGGCCGTAGGTGTTTCAGAGCAGAGCAAAGGTTAAATACTTGTTCTACAAACACTGTGTTTTTCAATTCTGCCCTTCTTTTCCATGTTTTTGGTTTCAGATGCCTTTTCCCTTCAGCCAATTCTGTGTTAAAATTACCAACTAAAAGTTGAAAACTCTCTGGGATCTGGAGTCTTGGACCCACATAAGATCTTTAAGGAAACCACGTCCAACTGTTTAATATATAGATGGAGAAGCTGATAGGGGAGATGGCTGGGGTTCACAAGGAGTTTGGGGTTCCCAGGTCGATGGTGTTGCTGGAACCAGAAGCCAGGGCTCCTAAGAGCTAGACGCGTGGGAACAATGTCTGAGTTACTGCCGAGGTTCCCTTTGGACCCCGAGTGTGGCACTTGCTGAGCCCAAGCTGTTTCATATTAAGTTATATGCTTGTTGCCCAAGGGATTCCTCAGTGTGACTTTTAATTCCATAAGCAATTAGGGTGACAACTTCATTTGATGTCATTCCCTGATTAACAGGGCACTCCCCAACTTCAGACAACTGGCAATTTTACCCAGAAGTGAGTAACTACTCCCAGGTCACCCAAAACCATACCTAAGCATAGAGACACCATTTCTCAGGCATGGTAGGAGGATTTAGGAAAATCCCATTAAAGTGCTCTAGTATCTAAAGATCTTCCCATATGAATGTACATGACTAGAACTAGTGATATGCTAATCAGGTCAAGGCCAATATTGGCATTTTTCTTTTTGGCATTTTTCCTTTTTATTCCCCGTGGTTAATGGAAAGGAAAATCTCTTTTAGGTTGGGTAGGATGTCTTTGTGACCCTGCTGAAGCCCCATCACTGCACCCCATAATTTCCCACTGCTGTTTTGAATTTTTTTTTTAACAAATCAGCAAAAATATGATGAAGTATGTACAAAGGCATCTAGGCTTCTGCTGCTGGAGTCACCTTGTACGGTGGGGTACCCAAGAGTCGGGACTGCTTGAGCCTTGTGCCCTAGACATGCTACTAACACCGAGATTGGCAGCCTTAACCTCAGCTCTATGGCATCCACATCTCTTCAGGGAATTGTACAGGTGCTCTTCTACTCAGGGACAGAAAGAGATGAAGGGCCACAATGTTATAACTAGGTTAGGTTGCTCTTATTTCTTTTTTAAAAGTTATTTATTTATTTAGAGAGCACAAGCAGGTCAGTGGCAGAAAGAGAAGGAGAGAGAGAACCCCAAGCAGGCTCTGTGCTGACAGTGGGGCTCAAACTCACTAACCATGAGATCATGATCTGAGCCAAAACCAAGAGTCAGATGCTTAACTGACTGAGCCACTGAGGCACCCCAGGTCACTCTTACTCCTAAGGCGATCTCTCCACAGTGGGGTCCAGAAGTATTAGCAATTCACTTTTGCTCCTGAGGAAGAGAAACCTGTACCAATCTTCTAATAGTAATAAAAAGAAATGGAATCACTCTGAAATTTTAGCACGGATCCCTAGAACTATCTAAGAGATGCAGGTATGGGTTCATTTTATTATTTCCCCAGGAATCTAGCCCATTCCAAGCCCCACATATTTATCCATGCCCTTCAGAGAGAAAAGAACCAGAAGGAAGTTTCCAATTTATTTCCCCGTGTAAGGGAAAGTTAAGGAACACATCTTTGATGGCAGATAAACCTCAAAATTTCATTGAAAAAAAAAATTTATTTTTAAGCATAGGTCACCCAGGAGAGCCTGCTAACAAGCAGTTTCTGACATCCACACCTGGAAATGTCAGATTCCAAAGGTTTGCCGGGGGGCCCTAGAATCGGAACTCTGAACTAGTGCTCTAGGTTTCCCAGATGCCAGCGGTCTCCTGGATCTTACTTCGTAAAACATTTTTGTAGGATGTGAGTGACCTGGGGATGACAGTCAGGCTATTATTTTGGTGTCCCCTTATCCTCACCCCATACTCCATATTGCTGCAGCCCTTTCTAAAGTTCTGAGTTATTCTTACGAGGTATTAGTTAATAGAAGAGATCAGTTAGAGACATGAGGGCAGGAATGAGCCTCTTCCCTTTAGCCGGCCACATGTGGCTTCCCAAGTAGGGCTTCTCAGACTTGAATACACACAGGAGCCACCAGGAGACTGTGTGACAATACAGATTCTGATTGGGTAAGGGGGTGGGGCCAGAGTCCCGCATTTCTGATGGGCTTCTCCTGGTGGGGAGAGGCCGACTTCTGGTCTGCAGAGCACACTTTGAGGTTGAGGCTGGAAGGGGCATGTGAGAAGGGCTGTGGGGCTCAGTAGGGTCTTTGCTTCCTGCCACAATAATGCCATGTTTGGGATCCCCGTGTACAGCCCTTGGGACTCCTTGGGATTCAATATGAACCATGCTGTGGGTTGGAAAGAAAATCGCACTGTGGGAGAGCCCCAGTTGGAAACCCAAAGCTGCAGGCTAACCTTCCCAACCCACTCTCCGGATTTCACTTTTGTCCCAGACTTGACGGTTGATTCTTCCTCCGCCGACTCCACTTATTCCGGAAACTCACAGATCCCTTCTTTTTTTTCCTTCTTCAGCAAACTATGAGCGCTCCAAGCCTCTGCCCTCTAGGGAATCCCCTTAGTTCCCAGCCCTAGACCACCAGAGGTCGTTGAAGTTGACCAACTGGTGGTATTTACCTCGACCACTTAAGTCATACCAGAATTTGACAACAGAATTGGGACTTTGCATGTTCCGTTTGTTCACATATGGGCAGTTTCAAGCTCAGGTTATGGAAGAGGCCATGAAGAGGGGAAAACTGAAGTATTTGGAGGGGAAATCCCACCTCTTTGATAAATTGAGGACAGCCTGCCGAGCAGGGCTGATTTACTGAGGAACAGGCGTTAGGAATTTCTGTCAGCGAGGGCCTTTTTGTAGGTTTGGAGAAGATGGGTACCAGAAAGAGCTTCAAATAGGAGCAGAAAGCTCCTGTGTCTTTATACATCTGTGGACTATTTAGATAAGAAGGAGCTGTATTTAATCATGGAGAGAATTGTTTGCTTAAATAAAGGGAGGGAAAGTTGCATGTGTGTGTTTAAGGAGAGAAAGAGGAGGTGGGAGGAAGGAGAAAGGATCCAGCAATTTTCCACAGCTGAAACCCCACCACGTGGTTTTAATCAGGATGACCTTCCCATCACCTGAGCTCCAGAAGTGGTGGATGGGGGCGGGGGTGATGGCTTTGGAATTCTCATGGTCTCGTCCTTGGGATTCAGCTAAGCTCTGCCAAGGGCAGCGTGAGCTCCAAGGAAAAATTCTTACCTAGAAAACTGGATTGATGGTGTTGTGAATCTTGATGGAAAAAAAAAAAAAAGGATGGTAGGTGGGTCCAGTCAGTTTGGATCCTAGCAAAATTTCAACTGCAGGGAAAGAGAACCAGTTTTACGTCAGCCCTTTCCCCAAAGTACCCGAGTCCTGGGCCCTACAACCATGTATGCTCAGGAAGCCTGTTCATTGGCTAGCCAGGTGGGGTCCCTGGCCAGAGCCTCTCTGAGATTCCTTAGATGTAAGGGCTTAAAGACAAAGCAATCAAAACCCGGAACTTAGATTTCCTTTCAAAAAAGAGAAGTACAAAGAAGAGCCCCTGTTGAAGCGCCTTCTACATAATCTCATTTCTTGCTTGTCTTGAAAACTCACACCAGCATCCACTGTCACTATTTGTACCAGGAATGAGTGGGGGTGGGGGCTGGGGTAAGGACCTCAGTTTCCAGTTTTGCTATCTAGTTCTCTGGAGAGTTTAAGCAGATCTGAGTAGTTTTACCTCTTTGCCTAGAAGATTAAGCCTATAATCCGAAGGAATAAAGGCGACACGTGCCAAAACCCACGTGCCTATTTCACAATGTGGCCCACATCAGCCAGGGTGGGTTCTACAGAATTAACTGGATTCCTCTGGGGTCAGCACTCCCTCCCAAGGCTGGCAGCTGAGGCTACTGGGAATCTAAATTTGGCTGCTACCCTTGGCAGGTGACTCAGTGACTTCTAGCTGTGGTACAACCTTCCAGCATGATAAATCAGGGCCTGACCTGGGCCAGGCCTAGAGGGGGCCCCAAGGGCTCACATGGGTGTGAGGGGAGAAGGAGGCAGCTTGTAGTTGGCTAGAGGGAAAAATAAGCACCAGCCATAAACTGCAATTAATGTCAGCATGACGCCTTCCGAAGTCTGCCCCCGACTTGCCAACTGTTGTCACGTGTAAACCCTTAGCATACTCTGATAATTCTCTCAAGCTGCCTCCTTATGTTTGGATGCCTCATCTTTGCAATGCCAGGAGTAATGACTATTTATGATATGGAGGCCAGAGATGGGTGATAAAGGCATCCCACGATGGAGGCTAAGCAGGGACAGTTTAGAGATGTGCCAGATCCCACAGATTTGCATCGATTTCCATTCAGTGAAAGGAAAGAACCCACCTTTAAAACCTTAGACACTGGATCGATGGTGCTGTGAATCTTGTTTGAAAAAGGACAGCTGATGTGGCCTTGTCCTTTTGGATCTTAGCAAGATATTTCTATTCAAGACCATCCTCACTGTGACCCTACCTCAAGTCCTGGGCTGGAGAGCACAGTTCTACAAGGGGAGAATGTTCTTTTCTCCAAGTCTGAACATTTTCCAGCAATCCTCAGACTGAACATACAGCAGGTCCAGAGAAACTCCTGGCCTCTTTTCTGACTCACAATTTCCTCCCTGCCTGGTGGATGGAAATGTGTTTGCTCAAGAGAAGTGGTTTCAACTGCAGGGGAAAGCGATC